AAGCCGTCTGCTTAGGCCCTAAGAAGAAGAACCCTTACTTTTTAAGGGGCGGGTGGGTTTTGGGATTTTAAGGTTCTGTTTACATTGTATTAACATATCTGTATGGAAATTTTAATGTTGTAAGCCACCCCGATTGCTCTGCAGAGGGGCGGGATACAAATTTATTTATTATTATTATTATTATTATTATTATTATTATTATTATTATCTGGGACTACTAAAACATAAGTGAATAAATGCATGGGAAGGTGTAGCATGCTAGCTGCACCTGTTCCATCATTGCTTCCACATGGGGTGGACAACTTTCTGGGGTCGGGGGGAAGAGCCTCCTGTCTTGTGCAGACTCTTTATGAAATTGGAAAACCCAGCAGTTGTGGTCATGTTGGAAAGCCTTAAAGTACAGAGGAGATTTTGCTTGCCAGAGTGCCATCCTTCAACTATGATGGAAGTGGTGAGGCTATTGTACCGCCTCCCATATATTTAACTCGGGTTTTAGAATGCTGCTTAATTATTTCAACAAACTGGCAGAAAACAGGAGTGAACAATTGGCTAGTAATAACCAGACCATGCCCAAAGATCTGGAGTTGAATGCAAAGCAGCAGCAAAAGTGGGGAAAAATTATTTCACTTTCAGAAATCTAACATGAACAAAACCCATGCCCTTCCCCTAGAAATATATTTTGCTTCTTCTGTTTCTCTCCCAATTTTTTTCTGGTGCCACTGATTAAATTCTGCCCATCTGAAATAAACTGAGTGGTACATAACAGAAAGGCAGCTTTATTTTACTTCTAAGATTGATTTTTAAATGTTTTTTATCAACAAAGCTTCCTTAATTGTAAGGAAATTCACATTGTGTAACACTCATCATATAGAAATGTGGAGATAAGAGATACTTAAGATATATTTCAGGGTTGTTCTCACTTTTCCTGGTGTAGGATCAATGAAACCTTCATTATTTCAAGCCTGCTGATGTTTACTTCCTGTGGAGTTGTTGGTAGGCAGCCTTTTCTGACAGTTGAACAATTGCTGCCTGTGAACTGATAAGAGATTGGCAGGAGCAGTAGTGTAATGCACAAGCAGAAAATACTTTAACAAGAAAGATTTGTTAATGAATTCAAAGATATTTTTAGTTTAGGTTTCCCTTTTGCTACCCCCCCCCCAATGGATACAGTGGGCCCTTGGTATCCACTGGGGTTTGGTTCCAGGACCCCCTGTGGATACCACAATCCGTGGATGCTCAAGTCCCATTAAATTCAGTGACAAAGTAAAATGGTGTTCCTTATGTCAAATGGCAAAATCAAGATATGCTTTTTGAGTTTATATATATATATTTGAATATTTTCAAGCCATGGATGGTTGAATCTCTGGATAAAATATATATATATATCTGTGGATACAGAGGGCCAACTGTATCTAATTCAGCAGCATAGTCTTTAAAATAACCATCTTTGAAACTAGCCTGAATAGGATGATAATAACCCTAGTCAGTCTGCACAAGGCATACTATTTTACAGCGTAGTCCTAATCTCAAGGGAAGTAACATTTGGTTTCTGTAAAATAGGTCACTGGGAACTCATTAGAGTTAGAACTGTTACATTCTGTTGTAGTGAAAAGGATTAACTCACACATGAGCATTTAAAAATCCTTTCTAAGCAAGCATATTTATGTTTTCTACAATGGACTTTACCCTACTCAGGTGCACCCACATGTGCACACATTGTAACATAAACCCAGTTACTAGTTCTTCCTATTATTGAAGTAGAATCTCTTTTCCTGTAGTTTGAATGGGTCTCCTCTAGTTGATACTGAAAACTGGATTTGGGCCTTCACCCTTACTCTGATGTATCACATCACAAATGTGAAGAATGGGGTAAAAATATGAGCATTCTCTGAAATGAAAATTGCAGTCTTTCCCTTGATTCCATTCATTTGATGAATCAGGCTACTAATTATTTATTTACTGCTGTGAAAGACATGCCTGGCCAACAGTATTTTGTTTGTTCTGCTCACACTTGCCAGCACCTCTTAATGCAATGCCATTTCTGTGTGATAGTAAACAAAAGCCTAAACCTCTGTATCCACAGATTTTTTTAATCTACAGATTCAAGCATCCACCTATTGAAAATATTTTAAAAATATATAAATTCCAATAAGCAAACCTTGATTTTGCCACTTTATATAAGGAACACCATTTCACTATCCCATGATATTTAATAGGACTTGAGCATCCACAGATTTTGGTATCCACAGAGAGTCCTGGAACCAAAGCCCAGCAGATACCAAGGACCTACTGTATAATGTTTTGTTGAGTTTATTGTGTTTTATTCATTCCTCAGGGGCAATTATTCCCACAGTTCTGTGATGATTTCTTGAAGTTTTTGACTCTATCACAACAAGATTTGTGGAGGACGCCTTTAAATTGTTTTATATTTGATCATCCATGCCTTCCCTCTTCATGCTATGCTTAGTGATAACAAAATATGCCATGTGATTAAAAAAAGACTTGACCATGTCACAACATTGGACGTTTTCACACGGGGCTCTGGTGGAGGCAATCCTACCTCCCGCCGGCCCCATTCCGGAATGGCTCCGGCGGCGGCAGGCTAATTCCTTTTAAAAGTCGGAATTACCGTTCCGCCGCAGAAGCCGGAGTTGGAGGTGCTGAAGCCGGAGGGACGCCGGAAGGACGCCGGACTTAAGGCTCTGTGCGTGTGAACACACGAAGCTAGAAGCCGGACGTACACAGGGATGGCACCGGAAGGGGCGGGGTTTTCTGCGACGTGCGTCTGAACAAGCTGGAAGAAGAGCCGGAGTGGGGCCGGAGGGAGGCCGGCTAGCGTCCTCAAAAAGCCGCGTGTGAAAACGTCCATTGTTACATATGTATTTATTGTATATGAGGATCATGATGAACTGCTCTGTGAATGTAGGGTTGCCATAATTTTCTTCCCCAAATTTGGGAAAATGTAGGATAAAAAGTAGGACAAAAGTAGGACAAGAAAAATGGAGGACATGACCAACTAAAACCCAAAAAGATTTTTAAAATTAAATATATATATATAAATTCATGCTGCGCCTTACCTCCAGTCCTGCCAGACCTGCACTGCTGCATCTTAGGCCCAAGGAAGCTTTCTGCCTTGCCATGCCACCAGATTTTTCTCTGGGCCTTGGCTGAGGCCCCATGCAGGTGGCATTCTCTGGGCCTCAGTGAAAGCATGACAGGTGGTAGCGGAGAAGGAGGCGGAGGCCCTGAACCCCCTCAACCCCAGTGAAGCCTCCTGGCCTTCCGGGGCTTAAGCCTTGTTGCTGCGTGCCACCACGCTTGCCTGCTTGTTTCCGTGCCGCTCTCTCTCTCTTCTCTCTCATGCATGCAGAGACTATTTGAAAGCTGTAACCAAAAGTCTACTATGGGAATTTTATTTAGCTCAAACTGAGAGGGGGTTGGCTACAAGGACCC